ACTTCCTGACGACGTAGAAATTATTAATATACAGTGGTACATCGACATAGGAGCGCCCCAACATACGAGTTTTTCGAGATACGAGCCGACGAGCAAGTGACTTTTTGCTTTGAGTTACGAGCGAAATTCGAGATACGAGTTCGGTTCGGTAGTGTTGAAGATATTAATATGTGATTTTAAATGGGAATTTTGTGTGGGTAAATTTGCTTCGAGATACGAACAAGGTTGCGGAACGAATTAAACTCGTATGTCGAGGTACCACTGTAATATATATTTTTGTGTTCTATATATATATATATATAATTTCAAATTTATTCCACTTTAGAATGATAATAAGATATAATCATATAATAAACAATATTTGCTTAAAGATTATTCCTTGGGCAAACATTCCCTCGAGGTGAACTCGGGTAGTTCCCTGTTCATGTCAAATAGGCCATAGTTGTATTATTTTAAATATTGCTTAATTTAAAAAAATAATCCAAAATTGAATTATCATCGTGAGTGACCAGTTGGGAAAATACCAATGTTGATATGAAGCGCTTACATATCACAAATAAAAATGGTGTAAGTTAGCAATTGTTATTATATATATTGTGAGAATAGATGAAAAATTATGTGAAACATTATATCCTGATACATTAGAACCTCCATGAGAGGACACTCGCGCTAGAGGACATCTCTCTACGAAGGACAGTTTTTATTTGCAAAATTACAATTTTTACAATTTAGCAACTCTCCGGTAAGAGGACACCTCTCTCTAAAAGACACTTGGCTCTACAATTAGGTGTCCTTTACAGGCAGGTTATTCGGTAATCAAATTTTTAATTAATTTGCTTGGCTTTAAAATATTTTTGTTAAATATATAATCTCACACATACTTTATTTAACCTATTGAGATAAAATATTAATAAGATCTGGTTGTCATTCAAGACATATTTATTGTACGGACTGATGTTGTAGTATTATTATAAAAATGCCTCTTCACCAATTATGGTACAGAAAAATTAGCATCACATTTTCTGACCTCTATATAAGCTATTTATTCTGATATTCGAATATTTTAGAATTCTGAGGTTCAACTCCTTTAATATTAAAACATAATTTTTCTATCGTATATATATATATATATATATATATATATAAAATATGTAAATTATTTTGGTTTAATTTGAAAATGCTTGATATCTATATATATATATACAAATCAATGTTTGTATGTTTGTTTGTTTGTATGTCCGGTATACAAATTCGCAGTAGTTCACTAATTCAAACCAATATTTCCATACATAGGTAAAAAGAATACGGGGAAGACGATTGGCTATTTTAAAAAATATATCAATCAATTATTAAATCTATATATTCAAATATTCTACTTAGCTCACGAACAGCGCCCTCTATCAACGATTAAATTATGCTGATGCAAACAAATAGATAATGCTAATAACAAACAATTATTTAAAAAAATCTTATCTAAATATATATCACTCGGGAAGATATGCAGACGGGTCAATCCCTGGGCGAAGCCCGGGTCACCCGTCTAGTATCCTATATAAAAAAATCATATTCATTTATAAATATATTTGTTAAATATATGATTTCTTATTAATAGTTTTCCGGAAAAAAAGTTTAAAATATAGTGGTATTTGAACTTTCCTTATATATATACGAACTGGATTTGGCCGTTTTCTGCTCGAGTGAATGTTTCGCTTAAAGAATCTTGTCTTTGGTCTGGTTTCACCCATATCTTACTCGAGTAAATATTTTCCGGAAGAATTTCGTTTCTGACCATCAAATATGACGCAAAATATTATGATTATTTCTGGATGAAAAATAAGTAAATTAGTCCTGTATTTAAAAAGTCGTTGAACGAGTGGGTAAAACCTTCGATTCCCGACAGACATGAGCCTGGGATCGAAAACCGCGTTGGACCCTTTGTTTTAATATGTGAATAACCCTCACATATTATTTATTGTTTCAAATATCATAAACTAGGTTGCTCTCGGTACCTAATAAAGCAGGCATGTCAAACTCAAATCCTAACACGGGCCAAATAAAAAAGTAATAAGATTATGTGGGCCGCAAAAAAAGAAAACAAGTAATTAAATTTTTATAGTAACATTTATGTAGGTTTATTTTAAAAAATACTAATAAGAAAAAAGAAAGGAAAGTTAATATTTTCTCCCTGATATTTGGCATCTCTTTTCTGCTACCATCTTTCCTACTTCGGGGGAAATCTTGTTCGCAGTGATTAATTTTAAAACTGACCCAAGGTGAACGTCAGTAATTCTCGATCTGATTGGAGACTTATTTCCTTTCATAAGTGAAAATAACTGCTCGCACCGATAAGTACTTCCAAACATGGACATAATTTCATATGCTAATTTTGGGCCGCAAATTTATTCGTTGTGGGCCGCATGAGGCCCGCGGGCCGCGAGTTTGACATGCTTGTAATAAAGTGATTTTGGAACAAAATATATTCAGTAAATGATCATTTTTATCGGTTTAAAATGTGACAAAAACCTCCGTGAGACTCAACTCTGTATACTGTTAAAATATCAGTCAGATTAGTTGAATATTTCGAGGAGACGTATATGCAACAAATAAATAAATTAGCATACACACATTAACTTGTATACAGTAGAACCTCTCTTTAGCGGACACCTCTCCACAAAGGACAGTTTTCATTTGCAAAATTACCATTTTTACAATTTATCAACTCTCCGATAAGAGGACACCTCTCCCCAAAGGACACTTTGGCTCTGCAATTAGGTGTCCTTTACAGGGAGGTTCTACTGTATATAGAGAGAAGCGATAAAGTCGGTGGCCGACGGTATAAACCGTTGGTTTACGACAGCTGTTAACCGGGATCGAATCCTGCATTGTACACTTTTTTTGTGTGAAGAGCCTGTTCATATTTTTCATTGTAAATAACCTAAGCTAGGTTGCTCTTTTTTTAAGAGGTACCTAATACCGATAGAGGAGAGATGACGTTTGAGGATACTTACAGCTATAATATTGTTGTGTATAAGGTCACAAATAGTAGTCACTTATAGGTAACCCAGTCTCATGAAACCTATCCATAGATCTCCAACTACAGGGAATACACAAACTTATTTGAATGCTTACATACAATAATGTGACAAAGAAAACGTTCTTGGTTTAAAAAATATTCTAAGAATATTAAATTATCAAAATTATAAATGAAAAATATAATGGGAAGAAAATTGACTATATAACAGAAAAACTAGGAATATTTACATACACACAATTCCAATTGTAATTAAATCAACTATTAATACTTACGGCGAGAAAAATATGCATATATAAGCGACGTCTCCATACTTATGAAAATCATCAATAAACGTGGGATAGACAGTAAAATCCAAGAAAGCGCTCTAAATGAAAAAGAAACGAGTTCGCCATTAACTATCAGATTCTATGTCGCCATCTGGTAAAGCTTGTAGTTGAAGACGCCAAAAATGGAAACTTACAAGGCAATGATGATATAAGACTCCATCCGCGAAGTGAGTGAAGTTTCTCAACAAATAATACAAACCCAAACTTTCAAAGAAATTTTTTTTTATGAAGAAGACTCTTGGACAATAGTTATCTCTCTATATCAAAAGTAAATTATTATTTATTTGAACATATCTATTGATATGTTTTAAAATGTGTGGAGCAAACAGCGTCGTAAGCTCCTCATCCAACTTGAAGTCATAGGCCGGTAGTGTGAGCGCACTAGCCCGAAGACAAATGAAGACCACTCACATAGGAGCATGGGTTATTCGGTTTAGAGGGCGACACCCGGTAAGATGAGAGTGGACTAAGGAAGAATCCTGGGACGGCTGTTCAATCAGGAAGCATGGCGACCTGACTCCTGATCTGTCTATTTTTATTTGTGTGCTGCTGTCTCCCGCTACTCGTGTAGGCTCAGAGACAACCCAGCTTATATTATAATGGCGACGTCACTTTGTTTTCCGTTCGCGTCCAATCAAGGACTGGAATCGCCAATATGTTTACAACCTCCCTGAGTTGCCTGGACAAAATCAGCGACCTGTTTAAGACCTCTCTGAGGTGCCGCTTCTCTTCCGGTGGTATCTTATTTGACCCCATTTTTAAGTTGTATAAGGTGGTATTTAAATGTACAACATTGTATATGCAAAATATAAGATACGACATATATATATATAAGTTTCCTCAACATTTGACCAATTTGGCAGAAATTTTAACAAGATATAGAATTATGTGTGCAAGAAGTATTTTAAAAATTTTTAACCCAAGATAATTTCAAATTAACTAAATACTAGAAATATTTACTTATTTTATAGTCATAAAAAATGATGACGATAATATTTACATATCATATTTAATGGACTGAAAAATGATTCTTTGAGTAAGCAGTCACTATAGCCGAACACGGGCGAAGCCATATATATAAATTAAAGGTTAAAAGGCCACTTTCACTCTAATATTTAAAATCACCTACTATTACAAATTATATAGATGAAGATGCAGTTTAAAATATAGGCTATGCAAATCAAACAAAAAAACTAATTAGCATTATTATTTACATAACCAAAAGACAATCAATTTAGTGTTTATTGTGGAGTCAATCTAGAATCTCCCCGCTTCTCTCATTAACAACTGTATGTAGCATACTCGAAAGTGATTCCTCAAATAATTTGTGTTTTCCCCCAGGAGAAGACATTCAAAATATTACCCGTCGGCAAGTACTTGAATAAAAACAAAAGAGATATCAATTAATATGATAAAGATACAGTTATACCTGTCTTTAGCTCCCCTTCTTGGGACTCACCAAAATAGGTTGCTATAGACAGGTCACTTTTAATGTAAATCGCATCGTACTACGTATTTAAAATCGGGCGCTATAGAGAGGAAGGTGCTATTTAGAGGGGGGCGCTATAGACAGGTTTAACTATATATATTTATAACCCAGGTTACTGGAGCGCAGAGCGCCAACTACCCGGAAAAAAAATCGCCCAGAAGGTGGAATCGAACCACTACGCTTTTAAACGGCTACAGGTTTGTAGTCTGCACCTAGGACCACCGAGGTTCATCTGGGCTATGAGAAATAAAGCTCTGATTCACATTAATTATAAATATTTTTTCATCAAAATAAACATTCTTTAAAATGGCCTAAAAATATTCGAAATAAATATAATTTAAATGTAAGTGGATTAAAAGAGGAAATCATCAAATTTATATATTGAAACGCTTTTAATCGTAAATATATCTTTCAGTAAATAAAGAGGGTAATGTGGAGGCCAGACAGGAGCCAATATATATATCTCTATGCGATTAATGATAACTTGGTGATCAGTTTCTGTGCGAGTTTATATATATGAACTACTAGGCGAATGACCCGGCTTCGCCCGAGAAATCCCTTGGGTGCAATTTCCTTCGTACTAAAAGTATATCAATAATCAATATTAGAAGTGCCATAGAATAGCAAAACAGAAGTAACACATAAACTACAGGAAAAAAGTGTGTGTGATGGCAAAAATTGTATTATATTAGTGTTTAGGTATTTGATTTAATTAATATAGTTGATATAATAATATTTATTTCTATTATATACATATAATACTAGCGGATGTGTACCCGGCTTCGCCCAGGTTTTATCCGAGTGAAAGTTTGCCTAACGAATATTATATATTATGAAGTATAATAAACAATGTTAAAGATTAGTTTTAATTATTAATCAAGATTGTGTGTGAATATGTGAGAAAGATGTAATATCGTTGTTGTTTTCTTGGCCGACTGTTTTACATATGGTGTTATCTTAAAATTGCTTGTTTCGAATATTTTTTTAGATTGAGTTGAATTAATTGCTGAATTCTTTTTTGTATTTATATATAAATAAAATTAACTCTGTTGATTTTTTTGTATTTAATCGATAACAGCGAAGTTACGCATGTTAAAGTTAGGAATAATATTTTGATGTTAAGCAAAACCTGCTCCATCTCGTTTTACATAAATGTTGAAAATTTGGTCGAAATTGATGCATTGTAACGAAAGTTTTTAGTGAACAACACTTATGAAATTTGCATTTTATTAATATATAGATAGATAAATGAGTTTTAAAAATTGTAAAAAAAAAAAAAAAATGCATCGCCCGGGAATCGAACCCGGGCCGCCCGCGTGGCAGGCGAGCATTCTACCACTGAACCACCGATGCTTTAAAAAAATGGCCATATTTAGGAATTCATTCCATTCCGGAATAATCCGCGTAAAAAAAAGTTCTTCAAATGAAAAAAAGAAATAGCCAAAAATACTAATCAAAATGCAGCCGAAAATTTTCCTCAGGTTTATAAAGAGCGACATGCAAAATTTGATCCCAATTGGTTCAGTAGTTTTTGAGTTTATCGCGAAACAGACAGACAGACAGTGACTTTTATATATATAGAGAAGAGATAGAGACTAGACGGGTGACCCGGGCTTCGCCCCGGGATTGACCCGTGTGCATATCTACCCGAGTGATATATTTAGATAAGATTTTTTTTATAATTGTTTGTTATTAGCATTATCTATTTGTTTGCCTCAGCATAATTTAATCTAATATTTGATAGAGGGCGCTGTTCGTGAGCTAAGTAGAATAATTTGAATATATAGTTTTAATAATTGATTTATATATTTTTTAAAATAGCCTATCGTCTTCCCCGTATTTCTTTACCTATGTATGGAAATTTTGGTTTGAATTAGTGAACTACTGCGAATTTGTATGCCGGACATACAAACAAACAAACATGCAAACCAACAAACATACAAACATTGATTTTTATATATATAGATATCTCAAATTATGAGAGGTCCATTATTTTCAAAGTACTTTAGAAATTTGCTCTAGGACTATTATTATATTTCTAGATCTCAATTCATTATATTAATTATTTATATAAAATACTAGACGAATGACCCGGGCAACGCCCAGGTCTACACGATTAAATGTATTATTCAAACACATAAAACATAGCAAAATAAAACCTTGCAAATATAGGAAGAGCAGTTATTTTAAACGGCGAATTAGATCAGTTATAGCAAAAAATGAAAATATATATGTAAATATGTGAAATAGTTATAAATTAGAAAACCTGTAAATATAGTTAAGGACTTGCATTGTAATTAAGTGTAAAGCTTCTCGTCTAGAACGCTGAGGCGACCTGCCGGCGGCGCGCGCCCGTTGGCTGCCGGCGAGCACGTGACTACCCTGTGCGCGCGCATGGCTTTCGGCTAGGGCTGTTCCACGCGACCGCCCGCCATGCGCGCCCACAGGGAAGTCACGTGCTCGCCGGCAGCCAACGGGCGCGCGCCGCCGGCAGGTCGCTTGAGTGTTCTAAAGGGCGCTGCTCGTGAGCTAAGTCGAATAATTTGAATATATAGTTTTAATATTTGATTTATATATTTTTTTAAAATAGCCTATCGTCATCCCCGTTATTTTTTTACCTATATATGGAAATTTTGGTTTGAATTAGTGAACTACTGCAAATTTGTATACCGGGCATACAAACCAACAAACAAACATATAAACATTCATTTTTATATATATAGATATGAACTCTTTAAACCATTTTTTTCCGAAATGACGTTTTTATCCTACCTTTTTGTTAATCGTAGGTTTTAAAAAATGATTAGAAAATAGAAAAAAAAAATTCTCTGGGGGGGAAAAATTGTTTATATACAACATTAGTGTCTATATCTATATAAAGGTATACGTCGGGTATGCTAGTCCCCAATACGTAACTCATCTGGCTGAAATTTTAATGTTTGTTTAAATAAAAAGAGGGAACGGGGAGCACCAGACAGTAGCCAATTTATATATTTATATGCTATTAATGATAACTTGATGATCAGTTTCTGTGCGCGTTTATTTATATATATTACTAGACGAATGACCCGGGCAACGCCCGTGTTTTACCCGATTGAATGTTTTTATTCCAATACTATTTGTTACAATTATAAATTGGAGCCGTGGATGTCACTCTTGTGAAACGTCCCGCTCCAAACTTTACATGTACATTAGGTCAGCTGGTATTACCCCTCATTTTCACCGCTAGAGGCGCGAGCGAATTGACTTTTTGTAAATATACATAATTATAAAGATAGAAGCTTCTATAGAAGATAATGATCATAATAATGATGCGCGCGCATCCGTGACAGCGATGAGGAATTGAGGAAAGACGGTCGTGACTATATATTAACTAGACGAATGGCCCGGGCAACGCCCGGGTTTTACCCGAGTGCGTATATATTTTAAAAATGTTTTAATTAAAATACTATTCGTTACAATTATAAATTGGCGCCGTGGATGTCTCTCTTGTGAAACGTCCCGCCCCAAACTGTGTGTGTCTTGAAAATATAAAAATAAAAATGTGAACGGAAAAATATGTCCAGGGTAGCCTAGTGGTCATGGCATCTGCCCGGTAAGCGGAAGGTCATGGGTTCGATTCCCATCCCTTGACACTTTTTATTTTATCCATTCTGACCAAAATCTATCCGTGAACTTCACACAGAGAGAATAAGGCAATCATATAAGTAGATAATCCAAATTGTGCCTTATCACACACTATTTTTTTTATTTGGCCTTATTACCTTGTGTTTATAATCTATGACGTAATGCCGGCGGCGCGCGCCCGTTGGCTGCCGGCGAGCACGTGACCTCCCTGTGCGCGCGCATCCGTGACAGAACCGGCCGCCCATGACGGTCGTGACTATATATATGGATAATAATAATAATATAATAATAATAATTATTATTATTATTATTATCATTAGATAATGATAATGATCATAATGATGATGCGCGCGCATCCGTGACAGAACCCATGACGGTCGTGACTATATATGTTGATGATGGATAATAATAATAATATAATAATAATAATAATAATAATTATTATTATTATTATTATTATTATATTATTGCCCTAGACAAATGGCAAGCACAGTTGTACTATGGCAAGCAGTGCCTCAAAACAGTGAAAATAGAAAGAGGAATACTGCAGGGAGATGGAATATCACCTCTATTCTTCGTCATGTGCCTCGAGCCGATAACAAGGGAGCTCAACAAAGAAGACAGTCCCCAAGTGGAGATGAGAGTGGGAGAGGAAAAAATTAAAATAAATCACCTATTGTTTATAGACGACATAAAAATATTTTCCTATAGCGACAAGGATCTTGAGCTCTTAGCGAACAAGACAACTCAGCTTTTGAATAATATAGGCTTCAAAATCAACCCGACAAAAACAGCGACAAACTCCACAGAAATTCAGGAATTTGGGACACTGGCAGAAAAAGAAACATATAAATATTTAGGTGTTCTAGAGGATAACACCAGCGCAGTCGTCCCAGAAAATAAAGAGAGAATAAAAAGAGAAATAGTATCCAGAATGGAATCTTTAGCGGAAACCAAGCTGAACGCTAAAAACCTCTTCGCTGCTTTCAACGAATTTTCGCTCTCGCTCATAAACTACTACGTTGGAATCGTGGAGTTTAGTGAGCGAGAACTAGAAATGTTGGACCAAAAGGTGAGAACAACGCTGAGCAAATTCAAAATTCATCTTAAGCCAGCAAATAAAGAAAGATTATATCTTCAACGCGAAGAAATGGGAAGAGGATTGGTGAACTTGGTCAAAAAAAAAACGAAAGAATTCTGCTAAGCCTCTACAAGTATATATTTGGGGGGGGAGACAACAAAAAGAAAGGAAGCCATTAAAGCGTGTGAACAGGGCGAAAACACAATGCTCACGCACATCCAACTAATTATAGAAAACAAGTACAAAATAGAAGCCCAAAACATCACAATGAAAACTCTGAAAGAAAAACAGATTGAAAATCTAAGAGAAATCATTGGCCAGAAAATAATCCACAGAACATTCTTTAAAAATGAAGACCAACCGCTATTGGACATGATAGAATCCTCACAGTGGCTCAAAACGGGAAACAACACACCACAAAATGAAGGATTCTACATGTTCATACAAGATAGAAACGTGTTCCCGAAGGATAAGAACATGAAATGCCCTCACTGTGAAAAGGTACAGAGGACGGTGGACCACCTTGCTAC